AAATATAATATACATATATTATTATTATAAGATTGCCTTTCTAATGCTAATGGTAGCATTATTCTTTAATTGACTTCTCTAAGGCCAAGCTAGCGTTTTTCTAGCGTTTTGCTTGCGTTTTGCAAGCGTCAAACAAAACGCTTTGCGATTCCTTAGCGTTTTGTTGGCGTTTTGCAGGCGACAGACAAAATGCTGTTCTGCGTTTTTCTCGCGTTTTGCTGGCGTTTTTTAAGCGATATTCTGGCATATACAATATTTCACATCAATTATGCATGCATTGGGTAAAAGTTGGCTGTTTATAAAATCGACAATAATTTTCACGCGTTTCTCTAGCGTCTCTCGAATTAACCTTTGATTGTTTGTGCCTAAGCATGGGGCAAGTACTACTGCATGCATTCGATTTTATTTGACTGCTCGCGTTTTCCTCGCGCTGCTCGCTGCTCGCTGCCCGCTGCACGTTTTTCCAAGCGGAAGTTGCTGCGCGACTCTCTTGCGCCTGTGCGTTTTTCCAAATGAGTTGGCAACTTTGGCCGGCTTATTGTTAGCTTTTAAGCTTATTTTTACAAGCACAACATTGTGCCAAGATGACTGGACGACCGTGTGGCTGTATGGCTATGTGAGTGTATGGCTCTGTGGACACTGATGTCTCTATCTTCAGTTGCCGCCCCACCCAGCCCCCTGCCCCGTTGGGAGGCCTGGGCCCACAGCGCCCAATGCACACTTAAAATTCTTAACTTGAAAAATAAATATTTTTACAGCATCTCACGGCGCGTTTGTTTGTTTATTTTCATTTCGTTCGCCGTCGACACCGTTTTCCGCCTGTGTGGACAGCAACAGACCAAGCGACAGCTAGACATGTATGTGTGTATATGTGTGTGTAACTGTGTGTGTGTGCATCTGTAAGATACTTTGCTTGCAACTTGCATTTAAAGTCTGTTTCTCTCTCGCTCTCTCTCTCTCTCTCTCACTCTCTGAAAGTCGCTTTCGTCGCGTTTCTCTCTCTCTCTCTCTCTCGGCTGTTTATCTTAGGGATTAAGTCGCAACGTTGTCGAATTGTTACAATTAACCTTAGACTTTATTTTCCATTCGCTTATCATGTGTGGGAAAATATGTGGAAAACACTTGTGCACACAGCAGAAGAGTTGGGTAGAAATCAAACAATGATCGCATCGATTACAACAGGAGATATGTCGTGAAAGCGTGTAACAAATTGAAAACAGACAACGATATGCTATATAGATGCTGACACTGATTTAGTGTATATATAGACGATCGATAAATATCGATTTTGTCTATAACATAATGAGGTATATCGAAAAAGTTATCAATAAACAAAGATATGGTATATAGATGCTCTCACTGATTTAGTATAATATTCTTAAGCTTAGTCGTACTTTGTAAAGCGATCGATAACTAATCGATTTTGTCTATATTTATATATGGTATCAGATATAGGCATATGCCAAAGCTAAATCAGGCTTAGCCTCTAGATCGATAACTAATCGATCATATCTAGATATATGCATATGTATACTAACTTGCTGTAGTCGGCCTTGCAGTAGACCTGACGTTCCCTGATGAAGCACGACTGTTGGCGATCCAGCGGGCACATGCACATGCAACATCTGAGGCAATGGGCGTGCCACGAGCAGCCGCCAACCTCGAGAAAAAATCGATCCGAGATTGGTTCGCCGCACGCTGCGCAGGAACGCAGCTCAGTCTGAAATCGAACAGAAAATAAAAACCGATTTAGTTAAATAATCAAAGACAAATTAAAAACAATATAGGTAAATCTTTAACTCTATATACTACAATATATATTTGGGATATGCAGATATGTTTCGGTAAATATCATTTAAAGATCAGTGCACTCTGGCCGAACTTCTAGCTGAGAATGTAAATTGCTCCACAGGCCCAACAAAAGAGCGAAATTTATTTGCTCGTTTGATCTGAACTTTGAATGCCGAACCGGTTCACAGTGACATCTGTGGTACACTGATCTCAACTCTAATCGTAGCGCCCGTTTGGCATCTTTTGTTATGCTTTCTGCTGAAATCGCTCAATAAATCTATCGAATGTGCCGTCGGCTTCTGTTTTATATCTTTAGCTGCAACATTTAACTTATGAATGTGTATTAAAATTCCAACAACTAACACTAGGAAATGTCTATACAGAGGCAGACGAGTTTCTTTTGTTTTCTTTTTGTTGCTGTTTAGATCGAAATATAAGTAAAAAAAAAAAAACTTATGCTAATTGTTATCATTTCAGTATAGCTGAGTCGCAAATCGCAGTCACGATCACAGTTTGTGTCACAGTATTCGAGTCAAAGACAAAGACAACAAAAACAACTACTACTACAACAACAGCAAAAACCCGGCCAAAAACACAAACAATATTTAACTAATTTATGAGCCATCAGCTGTGTGGCTTATCCATATTCATTTCGCTTCGATTTTTCGACTGCATTTTATGCCGCTTTTCAAACTGTTCCACCAGTTCATCTCGCTATATATAGGTATGGGTATATGTTATATCTGATTTTAAATGGATTTTCTGTGTTCTCGTAATATATCAAGAACAACATTTAAATCAACAGCTACAACATTTGGAATTAATTTATTGTCAGTAGCAACTAATTGTTGGCCAAAATCATATTGGAGTTGGCTTTTGAATTAGGCTGGAAATTATAAAAGCAATTTATAGGCAAATTGTGCTTTTAGAAAACTGATAAAAAAGTTATTTAATTAAAATAATATTTARATAAAATTACATTTGATATATGTATATTTTACACATAATGCTTAAGCATGATGTTTATTAATGATAATAAGAATATTTACGATACTGTAAGCACCTTTAACTGTGAATTCAAACTGCTCTATTTTAGCCTAGGGAATGCTCTGAATTCAGTTTGATATCCATTTAACAGCTCTTCTTTGTATATAGTATAGCATATATCTTTCAAGTCAGTTTACATATTCTTTGTACTTTCTTATCAATACTTCTCCATCTAGCATCCACTTTCAGCAGCTTCGTCTCTTCACTTGACCTTCGACAAATTGAATCGTTAGCCAAGCGATTTGAGCTTCTCAAAATTCTTCAAATGCCTAATTGCTACAATGCTTAATTAAATTGTTTTATAGTTTCGGCTACCGACAAACTTCAAGACTTCAGTTCCAATTAAATGTCGATTAATTCTTATTTTTTGTGCGGTTTAGTATAAAGCAGACTTTTGTCTAATTTAAAACGTTTCAATTTCTCTTGTTTGACTGAAGTGAACAAATTTTATATGTATATACAATATATAGCATCAAATGCAGAGCGCCTGGCTTTAAGCATTTAATTAATGGCCAGCGTTTTGCATATTTTCAAATTCATTAACAAAAAAGTGGAAAAAAGAAATAAATAAAAATTGGTTGACAATTTCCGTTGGAAAAAAAAATAAATAAGAAGAAGAAGACGAAATGAGGCAGCGGACAGTTTAAAATTGTTTTTCCATTAATCAAAGCGGCAGAGAAAATAAATTTACCGTTTTTTTTTTTACAAATTAATTGCTAGCTGCCAATGTTGCTCTTGTTTCTGTTGTTGTTGCAAAACAATTGTTGAATACTACATATATATTTTTTTGCAACAGTAGCTGGCAGCTTGTTATTAACTTTGGCTGACAAATTTTCAGTTAAAAGCAAATGCCGACAAGAGACAAAAAGACGTTGCCATTGACAAAAGATACAAAATAAATACAAATAGCTCGAGAGACATATGCACATATGATACAAAAGTCAATATATGTATATACACACATATATATATATATATTGTATATGTATAAGTATATCTGTCTGCCTTTAGTTATATAGCCAAACAAAAAGCTGGCCGTGACTAGGCCGCAGGAGGCGGCACAAGATCAAAGCCGGCTGCTCTCCAGCAACGCCTAGGCCAATTAATAAAAAAACAATAAACTATGCTCCATAGATCGATGCGCAAACTAAATAAATGTGACGCAGTTAAAGAAAAACAGCAGCTCARAGTATTAGAAACAGCAACAACAACAACAAGAACAGCAGCAACAGCAGCAGTAGAAGCAAAGCAAAGCAAATATATTCATGACAATTTGTAGCTACAAGCTGCCAACTATTTATATATATATATATGTATTTATGAATACATGTGCATGTATACATTTGTATATATATATATATATTTTGAGGGTTAGTCATTTGGGTGGTTTTTGTTTTTTTTATGCCTGGGAAATTTGGCTTTGATATAGGAAATAAATAGCCGTCAAATGCAATATGGCCACCATCAAAGGCAGCAAGCAGGAGCAACATGTAGCTGCGCCTGTGCGCGCGTGTATCTCACAGATACGTATCTATAGCTATGTGTGTGTCAGTGTGTGTGTGTGCATGTGTGTGTGTGTGTGTGTGTGTGTGTGTGTACATGCTAACATGGTGGTGTGTGTGTGTGTGTGTGTGTGGCTGCTGCCATTTAACTTTTCAACCGCGTCGCCTCGTGTGACACGTTTAATCGCGCGCCCTCCCCAGCGAGCGAGCCTGCGCGTTGACTGCCTGCCTGCCCCCTCGCTACCCCTGTTGTTGCCCCGATTCCTGCTGCTGCCCCTGTCCCCGTTCCTGCCTCTGTCTCTGCCCTGCCCGCCTGTCACTTTCGTTTAACTTTTCACATTGCTCGAGCGAGCGCGCAGGCAGGCGCCCAAAAACCCAGAAGCTGCTCGACTCGGGGTGTTTTTGCCAATTTGTTTTCCCGACGCCCGTTATGACACACACACACACACACACTCACACGCACGCACACACTGGCACAGGCACACACACACACACACACACTATACATATATATATGCATTCATATGCCCCGCTGTTGTTATTGTTGTCATGTCTCTCTGTGCCCACTTCGGCAAAATATGCCCATTGTCAGAGCTGTGCCTGTGCCTGAAGTGGCATTTGGCTAGAATGTCATTTGGCTGTAATTGTAACTCATGAACGTTGAGGTTTTTGGCTTACAGTTGCATAAATCTGGCACAGCTTTGAATTTCAATAAGCCCAGCTGGGCCAGACAAACACATCACGAGAGGACATCAACTTTAATGTGCCCCATTTCAATTTGGATCTTTATCAGGCCAAGAGCTTGTGTATGGGCTATGTTAATGGACGGATGATGTGTGGCAGCTCATTGGATTAGAGATAGTGATTAGGGAGTTGAATTTTTGTTTTAAATGTTATTGGCATTGGTATTGGACTTTGTATTGATATTGATAGGAAGTTAAACGAAAATATTGAGGTTAATAATCATTATCATAATCATTAGTGTTAGTATTGCACTTGATATTGATATGAGGATAAATGCGGCATCTGAGTAAAATTATGAATATGAATGAATATATTGTAATTATAGTCATTAATATCATAGTAATTATCATGATCATAATCATAAGGCTGACTATAATAATTTTCATTGACATTATAAGTAACATTATTTTTATATATTATTATCATTGTCATTGGTATTGACATTGTGAATATCATTTTCATTGTATTGTATGAGAACATCATCATGCTTAGTCTTTCCTTCATTGACATTTTCATAATCATTAATGATATAATGATTAGCATTGTAATAGGTTTATATTACATTCAGACTACATCCACACACAGTTTCCTATGGGATTAACACACTCATTATTTATACCATTAGTAACTAACATAGCTTTAAGATATCAATCGCTTATCATCAAACTCTATTGACCTTTCAAGCCACACTTCCCAGTGCATCAAAGGCTACCTAGTTATCCAATCTGGTAAATATGGTAAGCATATTCTGCATACGCAACTCTTTCCAGTTATCTCTTAAATAAAGTTCAAAATTGATGACAACTACAAGCCATTATGAAGATTGTTCATGATTTCAGCTACTATAAAAGTCAATTCATTATCATATGGACAGAATTGAGTCGGATAAAAATGCTAAAAAGCCAGATAAAAGATTAAAGAGAAAAATATCTGCACATAATGATGGTAATATGAATAAACAAAAGAGATTATTAACAAATTTTATAGCACACAAGAGAGATATATATGCCCGATAAAGAACAAAAGAAAAAGTAGCTGAAAGAGCAGTTGAAGGTACTCAAAAACGGAATCCAATGCGGTTTGCTGACTTCTTGATTATGAAGAACTAGATAAGGCGGGCAGTTTGTAAATATGTCTTTCTCACATTTCTGCCGGCCATTGTCTTTGCTCTCTCTTTCTCTCTCTGTCTCTCATTTAGTATTTTGCTAGATATGTAAGTATGTATGATGTGTAGATATTATATAAGGGGAATGGCTTTAGATCGCTGTCTACGCAACCATAAAAATTCCAGGCACAAAACTTGCACCTTGCAACTTTTGCTCAAATGCCATAAATAACATGGCACATAAAGTGCGATACAAAAGGCCAGAGAGAATAGAACTATAAAACTGAATAAGAGAACAAAAATTCACAACGCGACGCTCAAGAGTATGCAATAAAATGCGCTCACACTTGACAGCGAAGTCTCTGAAGTGTGAGAGTGGGCCATAAAAGACGACAGATACTCATATATAGCCAGAGACATGTCTATGCATATCTAGAGAATTTCATGTAAATATAAACTGAAGCTAGTCAACAGTAGCCACACAACATAATAGAAAGAACTATATCATCATCATCTGCTGCTGCTGCTGCT